TAAAACATTGCCTCCTCTGCCACTCCTCTGCATGTTGTCTGACATACTCTTTAATTCAATAAGCACCCCAAAAATAAAACCGGATTTAACTCTTTGAACGTACAATAGTGGTTGTGAAGCAGAAAGTCAGTTTATTGTACACAATCGGTCAATTGCAGCTTGCCGTTGGCTGGAAACTGTACGTTTATGTCACTGGAATGCACTAATCACCCAAAAAATATTACCGCCACCCGGCGTGTATATGGATTTAACTCTTTGAACGTACAATAGTGGTTGTGAAGCAGAAAGTCAGTTTATTTTGCACAATCGCAAACTGCAGCACCAACTGTGCACGACAGCCACCAAAAAAAAAAAGGGTGTATGCCACTTTAAATTTTCGATTCTTTGATAGCTGTGGCCCTAAGTAATGATTCTGTGTCCCTGAGTAACGATTCTGTGTCCCTGAGTAACGATTCTGTGGCCCTAAAGTCTCTGTGGCCCTAACTCTGTCCCTTAATACACACACAGGTCTGTCTCTCTTGAATGACCGGAGGCTAATGGAGAATTCTAAGATGGGCCGCGATTTATAGCTCCACCATTACACAGTGCTGGCTGGCTGCTGATTGGCTAATGCGATTCACATGTCATGAATGCATTATGGTCAGCGCGCCTTGTCTGCGCGCCTTCCCAGAGATCCCCGCCCCATCTTCTCTGTCCATTTTCTCCGTTGCCACACATGTGTCGCCGCCATTTTTTGGAAAATTTCGATTTGTGCATCCGAAGTTTGCTAATCTTCGGATTCATCGCGAATCTTCGGAACGAATTCCACTTCGTCATGTTCGATTCGCTCATCTCTAATGGAGATCATATCCCCCTTATGTATTATACATGGAGATCATATCCCCCCTTATGTATTATACATGGTGATCATATCCCCCCTTATGTATTATACATGGAGATCATATCCCCCTTATGTATTATACATGGAGATCATATCCCCCCTTATGTATTATACATGGTGATCATATCCCCCCTTTATGTATTATACATGGAGATCATATCCCCCCTATGTATTATACATGGAGATCATATCCCCCTTATGTATTATACATGGAGATCATATCCCCCCTTATGTATATATACATGGAGATCATATCCCCCCTTATGTATTATACATGGAGATCATATCCCCCCTTATGTATTATACATGGAGATCATATCCCCCTTATGTATTATACATGGAGATCATATCCCCCCTTATGTATTATACACGGAGATCATATCCCCCCCTTATGTATTATACATGGAGATCATATCCCCCCTTATGTATTATACATGGAGATCATATCCCCCCTTATGTATTATACATGGGGATCATATCCCATCTTATGTATTATACATGGAGATCATATCCCCCCTTATGTATTATACATGGAGATCATATCCCCCCCTTATGTATTATACATTGAGATCATATACTCCCCCCTTATGTATTATACATGGAGATCATATCCCCCCTTATGTATTATACATGGAGATCATATCCCCCCCTTATGTATTATACATGGAGATCATATCCCCCTTATGTATTATACATGGAGATCATATCCCCCTTATGTATTATACATGGAGATCATATCCCCCTTATGTATTATACATGGTGATCATATCCCCCCTTATGTATTATACATGGAGATCATGTCCCCCTTATATATTATACATGGAGATCATGTCCCCCCCCTTATGTATTATACATGGAGATCATATCCCCCCTTATGTATTATACATGGAGATCATATCCCCCTTATGTATTATACATGGAGATCATATCCCCCCTTATGTATTATACATGGAGATCATATCCCCCCCTTATGTATTATACATGGAGATCATATCCCCCTTATGTATTATACATGGAGATCATATCCCCCTTATGTATTATACATGGAGATCATATACCCCCCTTATGTATTATACATGGAGATCATATCCCCCTTATGTATTATACATGGAGATCATATCCCCCCTTATGTATTATACATGGAGATCATATCCCCCCTTATGTATTATACATGGTGATCATATCCCCCTTATGTATTATACATGGTGATCATATCCCCCCCTTATGTATTATATACATGGTGATCATATCCCCCTTATGTATTATACATGGAGATCATATCCCCCTTATGTATTATACATGGAGATCATATCCCCCCTTATGTATTATACATGGAGATCATATCCCCCCTTATGTATTATACATGGTGATCATATCCCCCCCTTATGTATTTATACATGGTGATCATATCCCCCTTATGTATTATACATGGAGATCATATCCCCCTTATGTATTATACATGGTGATCATATCCCCCTTATGTATTATACATGGAGATCATATCCCCCTTATGTATTATACATGGTGATCATATCCCCCCCTTATGTATTATACATGGAGATCATATCCCCCCTTATGTATTATACATGGTGATCATATCCCCCTTATGTATTATACATGGAGATCATATCCCCCTTATGTATTATACATGGAGATCATATCCCCCCTTATGTATTATACATGGAGATCATATCCCCCCCTTATGTATTATACATGGAGATCATATCCCCCCCTTATGTATTATACATGGAGATCATATCCCCCCTTATGTATTATACATGGTGATCATATCCCCCCTTATGTATTATACATGGAGATCATATCCCCCCTTATGTATTATACATGGTGATCATATCCCCCCTTATGTATTATACATGGAGATCATATCCCCCCCCTTATGTATTATACATGGAGATCATATCCCCCCTTAATCTCCTCTTCTCAGTAGAGAATACATTCAGTTCCTCTAATCTTTCCTCATAGCTTTTAACGGAACAGACCCAAGACTGCTCTTGAGTATCTCTTAGAATACCGCTTCCCCGTCCCAACACCGACAACAGACACCACAGCCGACCATACGAGACTAGATGACACCAGTCTTGAAGTAACCAGAAGGTAGACTAGTTTATTTGAACACAGATACAAGATATGTACATTCAAGGGAACAATCCCCCCTCCCTGCATAATGACACAGGGCGGGGCAATCTACATTTAGTAACAAAAGACACACAGGTATTCAAACTTCACACCTGCAGACAGTCCCATCAGGAGGGAGGGAGGGCTGCTGGAGACACCCCCCCCCCCACTAAGCTAATACACATGAACACATACATCCCATAATAGTTTGCTCCCAAACCAGACAAACAATAGAACAATGGGATGCAACCACATGACATTAAACAATCAACAACCCCCCCCCACCCCAATATTAGGACAGATCACCCTGTACCCCCCTAACAGGCACAGGGTGATTTACACATAACAGGGATATGGGGAGCTGAGACAGGGGTCTCCCCACCTCTCCAAAGTGAGCTGTGTTCCATGGGCCCCCCACCCAAAATTAATCCTGTCAGATAGCTGATCTCCTCCATGCCTTTTATCAGTTTGGTTGCCCTTCTCTGTACTTTCTCCAGTTCCCCAATGTTCTTTTTGTGAATTGGAGCCCAAAACTGAACTGCATATTCCAGATGAGGTGTTACTAATGATTTGTACCGGGGGGGGGGGTGATATCTCTGGAGTCTATACCTCTTTCAATACAAGAGAGGTTTTGCTTGCTTAAGAACTTGCAGCTTGGCATTGCTGCCATTATTAAACTTGTGATCTACCAGAACACCCAGATCCTTCTCCACCATTGACCCCCCCAGATCCTTGTTCATCCCACCATTGACCCCCACAGATCCTTGTCCACCATTGACCCCCCCAGTTGTACCCCCCCTAGTATGTATGATGCATGCATATTTTTTGCCCCCAAGTGCAGAACCTTACATTTATCACCATTAGCCCTCATTGGCCTCCATAGCCCCCAATTACACAGAGCATTGAGGTCGGCTTGTAAATTGGAGACATCCTGTAAGGACGTTATTCCCCGGCACAGCTTGGTGTCATCTGCAAAGACTGGAATGGGATTTATAATCCCCGACCCGATCTTGTTTATAAATGTATTAAAAAGTAAGGGTCCCAACACTGAACCTTGGGTACCCCACTAATAACACTGAACCTTGGAGTACACCACTAATGACACTGACCCTTGGGGTACATCACTAATGACATTGAAACTTGGGGTACACCACTGACACTAAACCTTGGGGTACACCACTAATGACACTAAACCTTGGGGTACACCACTAATGACACTGAACCTTGGGGTACACCACTAATGACACTGAACCTTGGGGTACATCACTAATAACACTGAACATTGGGGTCCCCCACTAACACTGACCCTTAGGGTACACCACTAATGACACTAAACCTTGGGGTACACCACTAATGACACTGAACCTTGGGGTACATCACTAATAACACTGACCCTTGGGGTACACCACTAATGACACTGACCCTTGGGGTACACCACTAATGACACTAAACCTTGGGGTCCCCCACTAATGACACTGACCCTTGGGGTCCCCCACTAATAACACTGACCCTTGGGGTACACCCACTAATGACACTGACCCTTGGGGTACACCACTAATGACACTGAACCTTGGGGTACACCACTAATGACACTGACCCTGGGGTACATCACTAATGACACTGACCCTTGGGGTACATCACTAATGACACTGAACCTTGGGGTACATCACTAATAACACTGAACCTTGGGGTCCCCCACCACTAATAACACTGACCCTTAGGGTACACCACTAATGACACTAAACCTTGGGGTACACCACTAATGACACTGAACCTTGGGGTACACCACTAATGACACTGAACCTTGGGGTCCCCCACTAATGACACTGAACCTTGGGGTCCCCCACTAATAACACTGAACCTTGGGGTCCCCCACTAATAACACTGAACCTTGGGGTCCCCCACTAATAACACTGACCCTTGGGTTACACCACTGACACCCCCAGACCATTCAGAGTATGAATCATTAACCACTACTCTCTGAATACCATCTTTTAGCCAGTTTTCTATCCATTTACATTCAGATTTTTCCACCCTGTAGACTTTACCTTACACATTAGCTGTGTGGGGAACTGTGTCAAACGCTTTTGCAAAATCCAAGTATATCACGTCTACTGCCACCCCTATGTCCAAGTATACCACGTCCACCACCCACCCCTCTGTCCAAGTACACCACGTCTACCGCAACCCCTCTGTCCAAGTATACCATGTCCACAGCCACCCCTCTGTCCAAGTATACCACGTCTAACGCCACCCCTCTGTCCAAGTATACCACGTCCACTGCCACCCCTCTGTCCCAAGTATACCACGTCCACCGCCACCCCTCTGTCCAGTATACCAGGTCCACCGCCACCCCCCTCTGTCCAGTATACCAGGTCCACAGCCACCCCTCTGTCCATGTATAGCCATGTCCACTGCCACCCCTCTGTCCATGTATTCCACTGCCACCCCCCTCTGTCCAAGCATACCACGTCCACCGCCCCCCCCCCTCTGTCCAAGTATACCACGTCCACAGCCACCCCTCTGTCCAAGTATACCACGTCCACAGCCACCCCTCTGTCCAAGTATACCACGTCCACCGCCACACCCTCTGTCCAAGTATACCACGTCCACCGCCCCCCCCCCTCTGTCCAAGTATACCACGTCCACAGCCACCCCTCTGTCCAAGTATACCACATCCACAGCCACCCCTCTGTCCAAGCATACCACGTCCACCGCCCCCCCCCCTCTGTCCAAGTATACCACGTCCACAGCCACCCCTCTGTCCACGTATACCACATCCACAGCCACCGCTCTGTCCAAGTATACCACTGCCACTCCTCTGTACAAGTATACCACATCCACAGCCCCCCTCTGTCCAAGTATACCACGTCCACAGCCCCCCTCTGTCCATGTATACCACATCCACAGCCACCCTCTGTCCAAGTATACCACGTCCACAGCCACCCCTCTTTCCATGTATACCACATCCACAGCCCCCCCCTCTGTCCAAGGTCTTTCATGAATCCATGCTGTCTGTTGCTTAAAATATTTTTTTTCCTAGTAGTGAAACATTCATTCATGTCTCAGCTGTTGGTGGGGTTCCCGGCTGAATGGAAAAAGAATTGTCTGCATTTCGAGACAATTATTTTTTTAAATGTGTGCCCTCCCTTCATCCATACTAAGCCCTTCAGGTCTGGTATGGATTTTGACAGGAACCCCCATGCCAGCAAGCAAGCGAACCATATCAGGCCACATCCCCTCGACATGGAGGGATGCTTTGGGGCAGGGCCCCCATCCAAGTACCTTGTCCCCATGTTGATGGGGACAAGGGTCTTTTACCCACAACCGTGGCCAGTGGTTGTGAAGGTCTGCAGCCGGGGGGCTTATCAGAATTTGGAAGCCCCGTTTAACAAGGGGGCCCCCAGATTTCGGGCCCCCTATGTGAATGAATATGGGGTACATGGTGCCACTACCCATTCACACAAAAACAAAAGTGTAGTGTAAAAAAAACAGGAGACAGTCTTTCACAAGTCCTTTATTAACAACAAAAGTTAAAAAATGCCCCCCAAAGTAGATCCAAGGTCAATCACGATGCCCCCCGCCGCCACCACCACCCTGAAAAAGGAGGAAAAAAAAAAAAACCCCGCTCCACGCTTGACGCTGGCTCCCTCCATCTGACAGCTGCTCCAGGATGACAGTTCTTAAATACTGTGATGATGTCACAAGCGGGGGGTCTCCATGTGTTGTGATTGGCCAAAGAATTGCACCTGAGGTCCGCATTGCTTTGCCCGATCACAATGCACTGTCGGCGCAGTGCATTGTGGGGCACGGCAGGCGAACAGCCCACCACACACTTTTACTGTTCATGCTTTCGCTGAACACATGAACAGCCCATGTTCGACTCAAACATGAAGCCCAACCCTACTTAGAATATTGATGTTGTAAATGATCTGGTTCCCGGGCCGGCGGCTTCAACACCTCAGAGGATCTCCATAGTCTCCTTGGCTTGCAGTGTAATGCAATGAGAATTGAAGCGCCACACCACTGCTAAGAGATCCAGATACAACTTTATACCATGAAAAGACAGAGGGGGTACAATCCAGAACGTATATACAGTCAGGTCCATAAATATTGGGACATGGACACAATTCTAACATTTTTGGCTCTATACACCACCACAATGGATTTGAAATGAAACAAACAAGATGTGCTTTAACTGCAGACTGTCAGCTTTCATTTGAGGGTATTTACATCCAAATCAGGTGAACGGTGTAGGAATTACAACAGTTTGCATATGTGCCTCCCACTTGTTAAGGGACCAAAAGTAATGGGACAGAATAATAATCATAAATCAAACTTTCACTTTTTAATACTTGGTTGCAAATCCTTTGTAGACAATTACAGCCTGAAGTCTGGAACGCATAGACATCCCCAGATGCTGGGTGTCATCCCTGGTGATGCTCTGCCAGGCCTCTACTGCAACTGTCTTCAGTTCCTGCTTGTTCTTGGGGCATTTTCCCTTCAGTTTTGTCTTCAGCAAGTGAAATGCTCAATCGGATTCAGGTCAGGTGATGGACTTGGCCATTGCAGAACATTCCACTTCTTTGGTTGCTTTTGCAGTCTGCTTTGGGTCATTGTCCATCTGCACTGTGAAGCGTCCAATGAGTTCTGAAGCATTTGGCTGAAATATGAGCCGATAATATTCCCGAAACACTTCACAATTCATCCGGCTGCTTCTGTCAGCAGTCACATCATCAATAAATACAAGAGAAGCAGTTCCATTGGCAGCCATACATGCCCACGCCATGACACTACCACCACCATGATCACTGATGAGGTGGTATGCTGAGGACCATGAGCAGTTCCTTCTCCATACTCTTCTCTTCCCATCACTCTGGTACAAGTTGATGTCGGTCTCATCTGTCCATAGGATGTTGTTCCAGAACTGTGAAGGCTTTTTTACATGTCGTTTGGCAAACTCTAATCTGGCCTTCCTGTTTTTGAGGCTCACCAATGGTTTCCATCTTGTGGTGAACCCTCTGTATTCACTCTGGTGAAGTCTTCTCTTGATTGGTGACTTTGACACACATACATCTACCTCCTGGAGGGTGTTCTTGATCTGGCCAACTGTTGTGAAGGGTGTTTTCTTCACCAGGGAAAGAATTCTTCGCTCATCCACCACAGTTGTTTTCCGTGGTCTTCCGGGTCTTTTGGTGTTGCTGAGCTCACCGGTGCGTTCCTTCTTTTTAAGAATGTTCCAAACAGTTGTTTTGGCCACGCCTAATGTTTTTGCTATCTCTCTGATGGGTTTGTTTTGTTTTTTCAGCCTAATGATGGCTTTACTGATAGTGACAGCTCTTTGGATCTCATCTTGAGATAAATACAAATAGCACACTTGAAATGAACTCTGGACCTTTTATCTGCTCATTGTAATTGGGATAACGAGGGAATAACACACACCTGGCCATGGAACAGCTGTGAAACCAATTGTCCCATTACTTTTGGTCCCTTAACAAGTGGGAGGCACATATGCAAACTGTTGTAATTCCTACACCGTTCACACCTGATTTGGATGTAAATACCCTCAAATTAAAGCTGACAGTCTGCAGTTAAAGCACATCTTGTTTGTTTCATTTCAAATCCATTGTGGTGGTGTATAGAGCCAAAAATGTTAGAATTGTCCCAATATATATGGACCTGACTGTAAGTAAAGAACCATCGCCACGGAAATTGTATAAGACAACAGTAAGCTGCAAAACCTAGCCTATAAACTTATAGGATATACAATACTTTAAAAAAATAGGTTGCGCTTAAATACATACAAAAGTGTAACAAAAAAATATATAAGAATACAATAAGAAACAATATTTTAAATCAAAATAAAATCCAGCAAAAATGAAAAAGTTCAAATAATCAATGTCCAAAATAATTCATCACCAAGTGAATCCACCACCAAAAATGGTTAAATAGAATTAACCAGAGTAATATGCTGATTGTTGAAAAACCAGCATATAGTACTTGTTACTCTGGGAGCAATGAATAATATGGTGACAGCAACACTGAAGAAATGAGGGATGAACTTGCAGCACATCATCTGTTGGAGTTCATCCCTCATTTCTTCAGTGTTGCTGTCACCATATTATTCATTGCTCCCAGAGTAACAAGTACTATATGCTGGTTTTTCAACAATCAGCATATTACTCTGGTTAATTCTATTTATTATTATTATTATTATTATTATTATATTAATACAGTATTTATAAAGCGCCAATGTTTTGCTCAGCGCTGTACATTACAAAGGGGGACAGAACATGTGACACAGAATACCAATACAATGCAAAACATGAGGGGATCGAGGGCCCTGCACTTTCGAGCTTACAATCTAGGAGGGAGGGGATGGTGGTACAGGAGGAGATAGCTGTGGGGGATGGGGTGGTAGGAAGAGTGGAGGAGGTCAGCAAGTTAGCAGGGGGTGGGGTAGGCTTCCCTGAAGAGATGGGTTTTCAGGGTGCGCCTAAAGGAGAGGAGAGTAGGTGATAATCTGATGGGTTGGGGCAGGGAGTTCCAGAGGATGGGTGACACCCTGGAGAAGTCCTGGAGGCGGGCATGGGAGGAGGAGACCAGGGAACTAGAGAGAAGGAGGTCTTGTGAGGAGCGGAGTGTGCGTGTTGGGTGGTACTTGGATATTAGGTCAGTGATGTAGTTCGGGGCAGTATGGTGGACGGCTTTGTACGTCAGTGTTAGGATTTTGAATTTGATCCGTTGCGCAATCGGAAGCCAGTGGAGGGATTGGCAGAGGGGGTTGGAGGACACTGAGTGGAGGCCAGTGGAGGGATTGGCAGAGGGGGGTGGCGTAGACGGAGCGGTTGGAAAGGTGAATGAGTCTGGCAGCCGTATTCAGGATGGACTGAAGCGGGGATAGCCAGCGGCGAGGCAGGCCAGTGAGGAGGGAGTTGCAGTAGTCGAGTCGTGATATGATGAGGGAGTGGATGAGCTGTTTAGTGGTTTCTGGAGTTAGGAACGTGCGGATTTTGGCGATGTTGCGGAGGTGGAGTCTGCATGTTGCGGAGGTGGAGTCTGCATGTTGCGGAGGTGGAGTCTGCATGTTGCGGAGGTGGAGTCGGCACGAGTTTGTTAAAGATTGGACTTGGGGCTGGAAGGATAGGTTGGAGTCCAGAATGACACCAAGTACTCTGGCCTGCGGGGTGGGTTTGATGGTGGAGTTGTTCGATGTGATAGAGAAGTCAATGGGGGGTGGTGTCCGGGCTGGGGGGAAGACAAGAAACTCTGTTTTGGAGAGGTTCAGTTTAAGGAAGTGGAGCGACATCCAGTCTGATATGTAGCTCAGTAGGTGTGTGATTCGGGCGGAGACCGAGGGGGTGAGGTGGGGGGTTGAGAGACAGATTTGTGTGTTGTCGGCATAGAGGTGGTAGTTGAAGCCGTGAGAGTGTATGAGTTGGCCAAGGGAGGAGGTGTAGATGGAGAAGAGAAGGGGCCCGAGGACAGAGCCTTGAGGGACCCCAACAGAGACGGGGAGTGAGGGGGAGGTGGTAGCATTCTAGGTAACGCTGAAGGAGCGTTGTGATAGGTAGGATGAGAGCCAGGAGAGAGCAGAATCTCTGAGGCCAAGGGAGTGTAGTTTTTTGAGGAGGAGGGGGTGGTGGACTGTGTCGAAGACCGCGGAGAGGTCGAGGAGTAGGAGCACTGAATAGTGGCCATTAGCTTTGGCGGCTAGAAGGTCGTTGGAGAGTTTGAGTAAGGCGGTTTCGGTGGAGTGTAGGGGACGGAAGCCAGACTGTAGGGGGTCGAGGAGGTTGTTGTCGTTGAGGTGAGAGCATAGGCGGGTGTAGACGAGGCGCTCGAGGAGTTTGGATGTAAATGGGAGCAGGGAGATGGGTCTTTTTGTTGGTGGATTCACTTGGTGATGAATTATTTTTGACATTATTGATTATTTGAACTTTTGGACTTTTTCGTTTTTGCTG